TAATTATTTATTATATATATAATAAATAAAAAAGTGTCCAATTTAACATTAATTTATACATGTTGTAAGAATTAAAATCTGAAATACCAATTATTATCTTATCTGTATCAATCTATTGTAATTAAAAATATTGATAATTGTTTTTTTAAAATCCTTTGAAATTTAAGTAATTTAAGAATGTAAATATCAAATTTGCTTTAATATAATTAAACTTACGCTTGAACAACGCTTATTCGGAGTATCATCGGTGTCATCCGGATTTGAGAATTCTTCTTTGGAGAACTTTCGTCGTATCTGCTCAGGGAACAATATGCATGACAATATCATGATTAGAGAACGGCATATTAAGCAACACGATAGTCATGAATAAATAATAAAATCATACGCACGCGAAAGCCTTCTCACTATAAGCTGTTATTCATAAATATGTAATTTCTTGTATTTTCATGAACGGGTCTGTCGCTTCCCAGGAAATTATTATTAATTGTTATTTCATCATTTCTTGCATAAACCACGGAATAATATTCATCTTTTACTTTCTATATTCCATACGTTTGAAATTATTTCTTGTCTTAAAAAAATGAAATTAAGTAAAACTAAGATATACGAAAAGATCTCGAAAATATTGTCGAAAAGAAAAGTTGTATTTGACTTTAATATAAAATAAATTTGAAATAAAAGATAAAACCTATGTATAAAGGTTAGAAAGAAAGTTTATATCTAATGTCCAAACAAGGTGTCCAAGTAGCAAGTACGTATACAACTCTTTTTGTGTGATAAATATTAAATATACAGATTGTTTTTATTAAATAATATTTTCTTGCATCAGATTAATGTTTAATAAAAGTGAAAGTAAAAAATGTAATATTATAATATATACTTAATTCAACGGAGAAGGCTTATATTTCGCAAAGAATGCCGGTAACACCTCCTACGGACGCACACAAATACGCCCGCGTACATCGCGCCCACACGTCACAAACAATACACAAGCATGTTCACTGACCACTTGGAACTCGTCCGGCCTCTTTCCATAACCGATCTCCAGCGAGCCCTTTCTTTCATCGATCCCAGTGACGTCACCGTCGCTGCCGACGTCCAATAATCGTTCGGCGGTGTCCCGCGTCTCTTCCTCGTCGTTGTCCTGCCCTTTATCGTTCTCCGTGATGGATTCAACCGGTTCTCGGGTCGCCAACAAATGCTTCTCGTCTATCGCCTCGTTGCCTAAGACCATCATGTCCCGCTCCCGTATTCGTTCGTCCTGCGTCCTATTCTCCGCGATGATCACGTCGATCATTCTCGCATCCTGGTGTTCCGTATCAACCTTCTCGTCCGATTGCACGTCCAATACTGTCGGATCTTGTTCAATCGAGGCGACTGCTTCCTCTCTCTTCGACGACGATTCTTCGGCGTCGTTGACGTTGTCCTTGCCGTCCTCGCACCTTATCCTGCTCTGTTCGCCGGCGGCTTTCGATTTCACTGCGCCGCCTACAACCTCCGTTATTTCTTGCTTATCCTGCTGCTTTCCTTTCGCGGATTCTTTGATCGAATTCACGTTATCCCTGCCCACGTCCTCCCGACTATTATCACGGCGAAAGATTCTTATTCCCGACTTGCAAGTTTCGTCTTTACTGGCGAATGTTGGTGAGATGACGAGCGACGGAGATTTTGCCTCCTCCTTAAAATCCTTTCGCATAGATCTCGATGAATGACGGATGTCGTCCTTGCTGTCTTGCCGCTTCAATCGCTCTTCCTTGCCACGAGGAGATAGCAATTTCGGGATTAAACTCGGCACGCTTATATCTTCGCGACTGCGACGTAAATCGTCGGTGCTTCCTCTGTACCTGCACAGAAAAGATGATATAGTAAAGGTTCTTCCTTTTTTAATAATTCTATAATTAATAATAATAAATATATTAATTATTAATTTATTTTTTATTTGTAATTAACAAATCATAGTGTCAATTATTAAAGATGATTTTCAATATTACATAGGAGATATAAATGTATGAGATTTTAAAGATAAAATTTTGGATAAAATCAGAATTACATGCACAAGAAAAAAAAGAAAGAAATAATACCTCTGAGGAATAAGCGATCGTTTGGGTGACTCTTGTGGACTCCGAATATCCTCGAACTCCTTGGAGCTCCTTTTAAAAATGGGAATATTCGATCTTCTCTCGCCATGCTTCGGACTCGGTTTCGTCTCGGGTGATATGAACTTGGTGAGAATCCTCGGCGGTTTTATAAGTGACACTCTTGGCGTGCTATGCTCCTGCACAGGGTCCTCCTGTTCCTTACCCGAGCGCTCACTCCTTTTACTAAAAGATCTTATAGTATCCGATGATGGCACTTCCTCCTCTGATTTCGATTTTTCTCGCTTCGTTCGTTCGTTAATCGACGTACTCTTCTCGATCGCTTTAATTACATTTTTGCAGTTGTCATCGGTGTTTTCAGCGACATCTTTCACGTCCAAGCTGTTCTCTCGCGAATTCTCAAGCTTCGATAATATTTTATCGTCGAAGCCCGAATCCTCCAATGGTTCTCGATAATCCTGATGGCGGGATGGCAGGCTGCGATATATACGCAATTCCGGAGACTTTCTCGCAGCTAACCAACGTGCCGGAGGACCTTTCGGGAAAATAATTTATATCGTAAATTTACTGCCATGCGAAACGGAAATGAGGCAATCGTGACTGAGCTTTAATGAAGAAACAAACAGATAATGAATATGAAATATAATTAAACGATATTAAGGTGACATTAATTTTCTTGCTAATATTTAACTCTCGCTGCCTGTTAAGGATAAATTTTCCTATTTCTCAAACTTTCTACAGAGTCATCGACGGAAGATTGATTATCAGAACGCACCATTAATCGTCCACGCTCGTCGGATGCTGCGATTTAGTATGTCCACCGGGGTCGCTGTTTTCTCGCTGACGGATTCGCTGGAAATCGAACTTTCGTACATCCATTTGCCGGTAACGACGTGTAATTCTCTGAAAATTGAACGGATTCGAAATTAGGTCATCGCACGAAGATAGCAAGGAACAAAGGATCGCACGCCGCGGAAGAAGTATACTTTCCATACTTTCGACTTAAATTGAAGTCATTGAAGTTTCATATTTTATTCGTACATCATTTTGTCTTAGGAAATTATATTTTATTGACATTAATCACAATAAATATCTGCACAACAACTTAGTAAGAAATTTTATGAAATATGAATAATATCACACGAAAATCAATGATGTAACACTTTTTTAAGTTTTTTAAGTCGGACATATATTTAACTGTCATTTCCACAAGAATATTTTTTTTTATATAACACAATAAGTAAATGCGTGCAACGTATTTTTTTATTACAATTATTATAAATAAAATATAAATATTATACTCTCGTTTAAATAAAATATTATAAATAAAATTGATATTCTCAGCTCAGTACTTCGCGAAAGTGCCTCTTAAGGAAGCGATTTTCGGAAGGGAGACACTCACGCGATCTTGTTGCAAATGTTGCAGGTCCACTCGACTTCTTTGTCACCTCCTGCGTGGTTTCTGATCTCGATGCGACACTGCCGGCACACGCGGTGTCTGCAACGTGTGCAGGTCGCACCGGTGTTGTAAAGTCTACCGAACGGCGCGCCGCATCGCGCGCATTTGCGTCCTTGATGCGATGGTTCACCGCCGTTGCCGCCGCCACTGCCGCCGGACGCCTTGAGCAGCCCCCTTCTTCTCAGATACTGTAGATCAGCCTTCAGCCTCCTGCGAACACAAAGCCGGATGCAGGAGATCCCGAGGATACCCTCGTCGGCCTATCGTGCCGCAGTCGAACTTCGCAACTTTGCGGAGAACGTCGCGATCGCAGTCGCGCCAATGAAGGCTCGGCTGAAAGAGCTTTATTTTAAAGAAATATTCAAATAATCATCTATCGCGCTAAATGAAGATATTATTTCTTAGACTGTATTCGACAAATATTTTACTCACTTGTTGTTCTTACTCATCACGACATCATGGTCTCTAATCCTAATTAACTCAATTACGAATACTCTTCTTGATTGTCAAATAAAAACGAAAGCGATTAAACATATAAAAAAACATATAAAAAAACTATTCAAGCGTTAACCAATTTTGTCGGGCATCGAATTTTCCGCTGTCGAGTGCGACGCGTCATTTTATCGCCTGTACACCTAGTTACGGTTAATTATTGTTTACTTCCAGCCGCGGGTAATTAACGGCTGCTCGCGTCGTTCATTGCACGCACACACCCACACATACCACACACACACACACACACACACACACACACACACACACACACACACACACACACACACACACACACACACACACACACACACACACACACACACACACACACACACACACACACACACACACACACACACACACACACACACACACACACACACATATATATATATATATATATATACTTTGTATCGGCGAACGCGATTATTCATCGAACGGCAGAAACGAATGAGTTTACGAGCCGCGGATATATCTCGATCACTGGCATACGTCGCCGTCGTCCTGGCGTGCGACTTAATGGCCAAGACTTACTCACGCAACTGACGCACGTGACGCGCCGTGTTCTCCACGAACAGCCGTTTCATCACACTCGAGCAGCCGCAAAAATCGTTCGCGCCGCCAGATTTTCTCCCTCGTCGTGCGCGAACGAGCGCGCTGTTAACTACGGCATTAGCAAATTTTTTGCTGCTATAATACGCGCATAGATATGCGCGTGATCGCGATTAATCCATGAGCATAGTCAACATCCATTGCTCTCTGTGTTTCAAACGTAGATTGAGTAGATCATGATTCGTCAGATCAAGCCAAAGGGATATAATAAAAAATTACGAGTACTTGTTCCTGTACCCGTGCTAAGGAAATATTTATTGAATTCGTACAAGAATTTATATGGTTCATTTGATACCTCCGTACGTTTGTAATTAATAACGTTTGTAATTAATGATTAATTAATCGTCAATACGCACGTATAAATGTTATAGACGAGACTGAAGTCTATGCACGTACTTTATTTATAACGTTATATAATCACACATTTATTTAAATGTCACGCAGCTGACGATAATTATGCAATTAATTGCCGACTTTATTCAGTCCCTGCGCAAACGCGCTCGCAAATCTTCTTAAGAATTTTTTTACGATATTAGAAAATCTCTTCGATCAATCGGTTATAATCGCAACGTTATGAATTAAACTTTCAAAATACCTTCAAATCTTTTTAACAAAAACATTGGCATCACTTGCAATATATATATATATATATATATATATATATATATATATTTTTTTTGTTTAAACGTTTGCTATGCAATGGGTGGTCATATTAAATCACGACAAGAGACAATCTGTTTTCTCTCAGATTTGAAATGAGTTCTTCAACGAGCGTTTAATCGACCGGATGATAAATCGCTATAGTACGCGTAAAAAAAAGAGCCTTTCGACGACGGAACACGACTATGTCGACTGATTGCCATGTCGGCGACAGTGACTCAGGGACGGTCGTATCTAGGCTCCTTTTGTTATAAAAAGATTCGACGTATCATTACGCGAAAGATTGCTACATCGCTCGTCGCTCGGTGCCAACAACGTTCTGCGACTGTGTTTCGTAGGTGTCCCACCGGTTTCTATTCGTCAGGCATGCGAAAAAAATCGCGTTCATGCAATTGATCGTACATTGAGAAAAAGATTCCTTTAGATTTAGCAATTCTATCCGTTTGACTTGAATTTATTTAATTTAAACAACATAATTTTATATTAACTTTATATTATTTTGTTGAATTAAAAAGTTTTGTTGTTTTGTTAAAGTATATACCATGTTGATTAATAGAAAAAAACACTATTATTTAAAGAAAATAATATTTATCTTTGAACTAAATAATACTTTGTTTGGCTAAATTAAATATTGTTTGAAATGAAAGAAAGAGATTCTCTAATATTATTGAATATAATAAAGTGTCATTTTTTTTTTTTAAATTTATTAATATAAATATTTTATTTAAACTAAAAGCTATTTATCATTTGAAAAAACCAAACAATCGAATTTGCTGAATCAATAATTGATTTGTTTAGACTATTT